CAAGCTTTCCTTTTCCAAACTTTCACCACCAAACACTAACTAACCACTCAAAGACAAGATTAATCGGTTTCTTTTGTTTGATTTCTCACTTTGTTGGTGGATTGAAGAAGAAATGGAGAAGAGTTTTGTTTTTCCTCTCTTGTTCTTACTCTCTCTCTCTCTCGGCTCTTAGCAGCAGAAAATGAAGAGAAATGAAGCTGATTTTTGTCTTATAAGGAGTAAGAAGGTTAGAGTTAATTAAGACCACAATTTGGCTAACACTTGGACAATTCTTAGCCACTAATTTTTCTCTTTCTTCCCCTTACTTATAAGCCACAAATTTCGGTCCCCTTAGCTGTAATATAAGAAGATATTTTGGCTCAAATATCAATAAGCTTGTGGTGCAAGAAAGTGGTGGTCCAGTGGTGCGTTCAAACGGTAGTGCGCGGGACCCGCCGGTTCGCGCCGTTTTTCTTAAAAACTCACGTAGTAGGGTTTTTACTTCCCATTCACTAACCTTATTTTACTGCTACTACTCACATATTATTTTTCACTTAAAAGTCACTTTTAATCTCCAAATTTAATCCTTACTCTGTACCGAAAATTCATCCGGCGAAAAATCGCAAAAACCCTAATTTTACTCCAAACTTGAAACCAAAGCGTAAAACCTTATTTTCTAGGTTTATTTACACTTATCATGGGATAATTGGATAGTAGGGCTTTAATAAATGATAATCTTCAAATAAAAAGAAATTTTTAAGAAAACGTGAGGAATTTTCCAATTCCAGTAATTAAAATTAGGGTTTCAATTAAAATATGAGAGATTTAGGAAAACCGGTTAGTCACAAGTAAACTAGGGTTTTTGGCTACAATATTAGGGTTTCTAGTCTTTTAAACCAAAATAAGGTTTTAAATCAACCCAAAGAAATACACTTTAATATTTTCTTCACAAACAACCTCCTAATATTCGGGATGTTACAAATATCCTAGGGATATGTATCATTATGCAGAGGGCAGCACCATTTGTTCCTTTGCTCTAGAAAATTTATCATCTCATCTCATATAGATTGGCTATAGATTGGCGGTAGTTTCGTGTTATAATCCATTAATATCCTAGGGATATGTATCTTATCTTATTATGCAGAGGGAAATATCATTTGTTCCATAAGCCATTAATATTCTTGTGTTATCGGGCTACAGCAATGTAGCAATCAAGCAACATAATGACTTTATTGCTCTTCCACGTGCTTGGTTTTTGTGCAACCAAAGGATCATAGTGATGGGTACAATTGCACATCTCATATCAGAACTCTTTTTTCATTTGAAAAAGCAGCCCTGGATGAACTCCTGCAACTCATCTCACACTCGGGAAGTTCAACTCAAGGCAGGGCATTGTTTTTGTGCGTTCCAGGTGGAGCTTTAGTTTTGCGACGTCTGGTTTTTGTTTGTGCGAAAGAAAGTAACCCATTGAAACAATATATAAACCTTGTTTCTGGTTCCTCTGTTCTCCATCTTGTATCTTTTTCATCGTCTTGCATTTTCTTCTTTGCAGCTCCTAAACAGTATGTATTTTCTTTCTTTCGTCGAATTCTAGCTTCGTTTGCTGCTTTTTATCCCTGTTATGTTAAGTATTTCTTATCCCTGCAGAGTTTCATGTTTCCTGTTTCTCATCTCTACAACTTCATTAACTGCTCCTTATCCGTGCAAGTTTCCTGACCAATTTCAGGTTCCGTTCCATGCTTTCTTATTAATATCACGGCTCTTTTATCGTTTGTTAAGAGTACCGTTGTGCAGTTTTTATACGCATGTTTGTTTTCCTTGTTCTGCTATTTATTGAATGTCTTATTGATTTTGAATTGCTATATATTGCACTTTTGTTTATTGGCTATTTGATTTTTGTTGTCTAAAAAAATGAGTTTGTCGAAGTTTGCTCTTGATTCTACTGATTCAATAACGGAAAAAAAGAGCCAACGTAATAAAAAGTTAAGGGAGCAATACGCTGCACTCTCTGCTCAAGAAAAGGAGATTCGTTTGGCCAAACAGAGAGAGGCATACCAAAGAAGGAAATTAAATAAATTTTTAGCGCTTCCTGCTCACGAACAATTGAAACGAGCTGAAAAATCAGTTATTGGGGAGACTTTTTGCATTCACAGTAACCAAGCAAAGGTTGAAGACGAACAAGACCGTCTGGCAAAAAAGAAGGAAATGCGTCGACAGAAACAGAGAGAGGCTTATCATAAGAAAAAATTACGCCTATCTTTTGATACTCATACATCAAAAGATACTGCAGAAATTATCGATACTGCTCCTGCTACTGCATTAACTGCTACCGTGAGTACCAATTGCCTGTCGAGTGAAGATCCAGAAAATCTTCAAAAAATGGAGAGTGCCACTTCTACTGCAGACAACATATTATCTGCTAAAATGCCATCTCTAGAAATTCTCCAAAAAATGGAAAGTGTCATTCCTGCTACAAACAACATATTATTTGCTGAAGTACCACTTAATTCTGGATTAGTTATTGAAAAGCCAGTTGACACTAATGCAAAAGGTATATTATTTATATACAAATGAACGTCTAATCCATGTTTCGGATTCTATAATATTATTATTATCTCTTACTTTTTCTCAATTCTACATTGCTGACTCCTGATTAGTATTCTCAGAGACGAATGTATCCCAGTCAAACAACAATGACAAATGTGAAAAACACGTCACTGCTTTCTCAAGTTATGACAAAGGTATTAATTATTTTTACATTACACGATTTAAGCTCTTAATATTCATTACATTTCTACTATCCACTATAAACATGTGATGATTTATAATTAGGATCCTCCTCAAATACAAAGTCCAGTGATAAGTACATATGCTCTGGAAACTCTGCTACTCATTGTTCAGGTTAGTTATTCTCTTCTATTGTTTATGTTTTTTTCCATATATGATCTACCATTTAATCTATTTACATTGAATATTAATCTTTATCTATTTTCTATATACAAATATCAGATGAACGTCGACTATGCTCTGGTTGTTATAATTTTCTATCTCAAAGCCTGCAGGAATTATCAGGTTCCACATATTTGATTATTTGACTAAGTCTATTTACAAAACACTATAATTTCAGACATGATTTAATCATTTTTTCTACACTTACTCTTAATAGAGCAATCAGCACCCTTATTTGCGATATCTCCTACAACTGCACCAGATAATGCTAAGACATCCAATACAACTACACAAGACAATGGCCAGCAGACTAAAAGTCAAGGTACTATACTCTTCTCTTACTTAAACATGAACTTCTCACTGCAAATATTTTGAATCTTCACCTTCCTTAATCGCGTATACAATTATTCATCATTTCATTTTTTTTGGATTAGTTATTAAGCTATCTTTTCTTAATACAGCTAGAAATTCTTCACGGCATTGTTCGGTCAAACGCTCTAGGAAAAAAACAGCTCCAGCGAAAGGTTCTGAACATTTTTTTCTTACTCATTGCACCAAAAGACTCCTAAAATTTTCCCCTTCGATATTTTGCAACTACCTGTATGATTGATTAATATCTTGCTCTATTGCGAACTAGATCAACACTCAATATAACAATCTATCATTTTTATTCATAGGTAATACAGTCCTACAAGGCATTGACGCACTTAATTGCATACCTCACAAGTCAAATAAGTTACCTCAGAAGGAAGATTGTCAATGTTGTCATGCAAAAAAGTTCCATTCTGAAACAACTAATTTTTGCTGCTCTGATGGTTCTGTTGTTCTCCATGACAATAAATTGCCAGTGTTCTTGTTGAACTATTCACTGATCAAACAGAAGAAGCAATTTGTTTCCGTACATATGTTAGAACATATAACAATATGTTTGCTTTCACTTCATTTGGTGTTCACTACGACAAGGCGCTCTGCAAAAGGAACAATGGGATCTACACTTTCAAAATTCAAGGACAGACTTACCATTTTATTAATCAACTGATTCCTCATCACGGCTCAGGAATGTATCTCCAACTTTATTTCCATGACACAGATCATGAGCTACAGAATAGAATGGCCACGTCAGACAGATTGACTGAAAGCCCTGTGATCAAAATCATGGAAGTTATGAAGACAAATCCTTATGCTTGCTTTTTTCGTAGTTTACGAAATGTACCTCAGCTGGATTCTTATCAAATAGTCTTGAAATCTCACACCGATAATGATCAACGTGTATTTAACCAGCCAACAGCTTCCCAAATTGCAGCTCTTTGGGTTGAAGGGGAAAATTCAGCAAACATCTATTCTAGGCATATACAAATATATACCAAAGAGGGTCATACTCATCGAATTCAATATTATTATGGATGCTATGATCCTCTGCAGTACCCGCTCTTGTTCCCACTAGAAGAAACTGGTTGGCATCCAGGAATTAAAAGATCAGAGAAAGTCAATCCAAAAAAAAAACAAAGAGAGCAACAAAAAAACAACAGACTTCAGCAACATTGTCTAATTTCCATTCTGCTCAAGAAATGATTGACAAGGAAGAGGAAGGTCAGACTACCTATATGCATTTCTTATATATATATATAGATAGAAACAGAAACAATAATAATTCCATATTTACATCACTTTTCTTAGTGGTTGTTTTATGTACAGCTATTCAAGGATGCGAGAACTCAAAGGAATATGTATCAATGAGAGAATACTATGCTTACAAAATGCAAATCAGATACCAGTGCACGCCTAACATTCTCAACACTGGAAGACTATTTCAACAATTTGTAGTTGAGATGTATGTAAAGATTGAGACTCAGCGGTTAGATTTCTATAGAAGCAGACAGCAATTAATACATAGAGAACAATTACAAGGACTCATGGATAGTGTTGTTCAAGGACAATCTCGCGGAGCACAGGTTGGCCAAAAAGTTACCCTTCCAGCTTCGTTTATTGGCGGTCCAAGAGATATGAAGAGATGATACGTAGATGCAATGGCTCTTGTACAAAAATCTGGCCAACCTGATTTATTTATTACAATGACTTGTAACCCTGCTTGGCCAGAGATAAAAGAAGCCATGTTACGTACAGATGAAGCTCACAACCGACCAGATCACCTATCAAGAGTGTTTCATGCAAAGGTCAACATTTTAAAGGAAGATTTATTCAAAAAGCATATATTTGGAGATGTAGCGGCATATACTTATGTTGTGGAATTCCAGAAACGTGGACTACCACATATTCATATGCTTATTATTCTGCAGCCGAGATCAAAATTATATTCGACAGAATCCTATGATCGAATTGTGTCTGCTGAAATACTAGATGAACAAGCAAATAAACATCTATTTAATATGGTTCGAAAGCACATGATGCATGGCCCATGTGGATCAAAAAATCCAAAGAACGTGTGTATGCAAGGCTCATTTATGAGAAGGTGCAGAAATAATTATCCCAAGAAATGGGCTAGCAGAACAACTCATGGAAACAACACCTATCCAACTTATAGGCGAAGAAATGATGGCAAGAAAATCATTGGCCGTGGGCAAGAACTCGATAACAGGTGGGTAGTTCCATACAACCCCTATTTACTTGCGAAATTTAATTGTCATATCAATGTTGAGATATGTTCTACTATTAAAGCTGTTACATATATCTATAAATATATCTACAAAGGACATGATAAGATACATTTTCAGGTTAACAATGATAATGAACCAATAGCTAATACCCAACCAACTCAGATTGATGAAATTACAGAATATCAATCAGCTAGATGGGTATGCCCAGTTGAAGCTATATGGCGTATTTATAGATTTTCGTTATCTGAAATGCATCCTGCAGTTATTCATCTTCAGCTACACCTTGAGAATTTTCAGTGCATGACTTTTAATGAAAAAGAAGATTTATGAGATCTTTTACAAAATTCTTTCAGGAAAAGAACAATGCTATCAGAATTTTTTCGCATGAACACTACTGATCCATTAGCTAAGCAACTAAAATGCACATACAAAGAGTTTCCAGAGCATTTTGTATGGTATCCTGGAAAAAAATATTGGGCAGTAAGACAACAAAAAGACAGTTTTGGTAGGATAGTTAGTGCCAGCCCAACAGAGGGTGAACGCTACTTTCTTAGACTATTGCTTACTCATGTCAAAGCACCAACATCTTTTGATGACTTGAAGATAGTAAATGGAGTTCATGTTGGTACGTATTGACAAGCAGCTATCCTGAGAGGTTATTTTGAATCAAACGATTCACAAGAATGATGTATGGAAGAAGCTGCTGCATATCATATGCCATACAGGCTAAGGAGATTATTTGCAACTTTATTGGTTTATTTCCCACCGATAAATCCTCCAGCTTTATGGAACAAATTTGAACAGGCAATGTCTGAAGACTACAATAGGACATCTACTTTACCTCCTGAACAGATTCGACTTGAGGTACTACACCAAATCAGCAACTTTTTGGATTCAATGGGAAAAGACATAAACAGCTTTTCCTTAGTCTCTACAACATTGAGATTCCGAGATAGATACACAAATACAAGAGACACCTTAAGTGAACTCAATATTCAGGTATCGGAAGCAGATTTATTAGCCATTGCACAGCTCAATGCAGAACAAAAAACTGCTTTTCACCACATAATGGATGCTATCTTTGTCAAACAAAAGGGATGCTTTTTTATTGATGGCCCTGGAGGCACAGGAAAAACATTTCTATACAAAGCTTTGCTAGCTGAAATAAGATCAAAGGGTTATATAGCTCTTGCAACTGCATCATGTGGAGTTGCAACATCTATTTTACCCGGAGGACGAACAGCTCACTCGTGCTTCAAAATCCCTATAGATATGAATCCAGCTAACATGTGTAAAGTTAGCAAACAAAGTGCTTCAGCAAATTTAATTCGTCAGGCAAAATTAATTCTTTGGGATGAAGCACCAATGACTCATCGACATGGAATCGAAGGAGTTGATAAACTTCTAAGAGATCTCATGGACTCCACAGAATTATTTGGAGGAAAAGTTATTGTATTCGGCGGCGATTTCAGACAGGTCTTACCCATAGTCACAAAAGGAATCAAAACAGATTTTATTGAAGCAAGTATCATTAGTTCCTATATCTGGCCACAACTCACGAAGCTTCATCTCAGCCAAAATATGAGAGCTATAGCTGATCCACAGTTTACTGCTTATCTCCTTCAAATTGGAAATGGAACGGAGCCACTGATCGATGATACCAACATTCACGTGCCAGACCACCTTCTCATACCCTATACTAATGAAGATGAGTCCATCAATATACTCATAAATTCTGTTTTTCCAGATCTTACAGCTTTTACTAATGAAAACTTTTCTTTGATAAATCGAGCAATACTTACAACTAAAAATGAATTTGTTGATGACCTAAATAACATCCTTATACAGAACTTTCCTGGACAAGCACATGAATATATAAGTCGAGATAAATCCATTATAGAATCAGAACAAGCAGTCTTAGAAGATTTCCTTAATAGTTTAACTCCAAATGGTTTCCCACCTCATAAAATTATCCTGAAACCAAATACACCAATAATTCTACTAAGAAATATTGATCCTCCGGAAGGTCTCTGCAATGGCACCAGGCTTATATGTAAATCTTTAACACAAAATATTATACATGCTACTATTAGTTGTGGTGAATTTACTGGTAAAGAGGTGTTTCTTCATAGAATCTGTTTTCGAATAGATAATGATGCTGATTGCCCTGTTTCTTTTGAAAGAATTCAGTTTCCTGTTCGTTTGTGTTTCGCAATGACTATTAATAAAGCTCAAGGTCAAACTTTGGATTATGTTGGATTATACTTACGTGAACCGGTATTTTCTCATGGACAATTTTATGTAGCAATGTCTAGAGCTAAAAATAGTACATCTATTAAAATACTAATTAGACCCCCTAATTTCAGTACTGAATCATACAATATCACACAAAATATAGTATACAGAGATGTTTTAGACATAGCAAATAACTAGATCTATTATCATTCATACATTACTCCTGTTGGTTTAATAAAAACTGAACATAGCTCCATATGATGAATATCCTGTTTCATACTAATTTATAGCTTTAACTCTTTACATCATTCCTTTGCAGCATCTGTTAACTGACAGGCATTATTCAGGAAGTTTGTTTTTCACTCATGGAAAGGAATATCAGCAAGCTCAATAAAATTGTACCCAATATACAACACTGGACAGCTATAGTTCAAGTGTTTGACAAACAAAAAGTCCAAATATCAAAGGCTGGAAACAAATACAAAAAATTAGTTCTGGTTGACGATGAGGTATGATTAGCTTCTCTTTTATATATATCTACATAACAAACAACTAATTATAATTACTTTTTTTTGACCATGGAAAACAAACTTCTTCTCAGGGAAACAAAGTCGATGCTATCATCTGCAAATCTGACATAGAGTTCTTCAAAGATCATTTCCATCTTTACAAAAGGTACATGATATCAAATGCACGAGTGGAGCGAACACAGTTAGAATACCAAACTCATGAGAACCAGTGTAACTGGATAATCGATAACTCTATTGTTGTTGAGGCTATCCAAGAACCAAACCCTCCGCAGCTTCCTCTCACAATCAACTTCACTCCTTTCAAGAAATTCCACCAACATATAGATGATAACAGCGAAATAGGTACACCACTTCAACAAAAAAATATAATTCTATATCAAATTTGTTGTAACAATCTAAATATGTATAACTCTTCTCCAATTAGATGTCCTAGGTGTTGTCAGTGAAGTTCATCTTCGTACCTACAAAGGAACAACACCAAAGAGAGAAATCATACTTATCGATCAAAGGTAACAATCACATCTATCAGATCTCATATCAGACTTATTTTAGCATATTCCTTAATTCTGTCAAATAAATAAACAGCTTAATGCCTGCAATCTTGACGCTCTGGGGAGATCATGAAATTGATGAAGGCCAAACTTTAACCAACATGGTGCAGAATATGCCTTTCATTGCTGCTCTACGACTCAAAGTGACTTCTTATCATAGTAAGTGCCTACTACATTCTAATTACATTACCATATACAAATTAAATTGTACTTATAGATCCAGATATCTTCACCGTAGCTATGAATCTATCTACGAAATTTGGCTCTAGCACTCTGATAAATCCACCAATCCAGCAAGCTTCTGAGATCAAAACATGGTAAATAATACCCTCATATTTTAAAACTTTTCCAATCATTCACTACTTAATTACATTTGCATTAATATCTTTTATCTTGACAAAAACATACTATGCAGGACAACAAAAAATGAGTATCAAATCCGACATCTAATGGCTGACAAAGCATACAACGATCGATCAAGATTGCTACCATTACCAGATGCAGAGGAAATAACCACAATAAGAGACTACCTTCAATTTCCCTTAGTAAATTTCACTTACACAACTCCTTTCCACAAAACACACAGGTCAATCACTATATATCACAATAAAAAAAAATGAATAACCATACATATATGTGACAGCAAAAGGCTTATTGGATACAAGGAACTCCTAAACTGCTTGACTGAAGTCAAAAATTCTGGTACAATGCATGCCCCCGATGCTTCAAATCTGTGCGTTCTATTCCACAGTGGCCAATTGTCTGTGCATCTTGCAACACACGCATCCAAGTCAGCCCAAGGTATGATCGAAACCTCCACTTTAACAAAATATTTACAAGTTGTTATCTACTAAAAAAATTACATCACAACAATCTTCACTTGAAAATAGATGTCGATTGACTGTGCAACTAGAGGATTACACTGGAAATATGACCCTGGATCTCTATGGAAATGATGCTTCTCAGTTGCTTCCTTTTACAATACAAGAAATTCAACAACAGGAGCAACAGGTGAACATATATAAACTAAATACGTTCTAACCTCCTATTATTACACAAACACCTACATATACCTTACTAATAAAAACTTATGATTCTCTTTACATTGTAGAACAAACTCAACTATCAAGCAATAGAAGACAGTGTCAGCAACAACATAATCGTCTGCTTCATCAAGAAGACTGCTTCAAACTATGTCTCAGGAACCAACATGAAATACTCGGCTATCATAGTACACAAACTTCCTAACATCACCGATACTTCAAAAAGCAGCTCCAGCGCAATTAGTGGAGAAAAAAATACAACAAAAATGCTCATCGACTCTCCACCACAGCCAGAGACAACTGAAGTTGCACACACACCTGAATCTTCAGCAAATGTAGACAGCAATCTCCTCACCGCACTCAAACTGACAGAGAGCCCCATCAAAAAACAGCGCACCGACACCTTGACAAAATAAGCTTAAAAAATACTTTTGAAACTATAAAAAGCTCTAAGAAGCTTTAGTTGTAAATATCTGTAAATACGTGTGAATGTCTATATAACAAATGCAATGCAGTGACCTTTTGCAGAATACACTTATCACTCAGTTCCTCAATGCAATAACATAAAAAAAAAATCCCTCGACGCCCGCGCATCGCTCGGGGATCACAACTAGTAATTGTCATATAAGAAGATATAAACCATGACTTTAAGTTTCAAAATGTACATTAGTGCATCATATCTTGTTTTTCTTTTATTGCAATACATTGTTACTGCTATTATTGGCTCTTCTTAGATGATGTTGTGTAGCTTTTGCTTTTATTAGTTGTTTAAATTAACCCATAATTTAAAAAAAAATAGGACTTTAAAAAATAGGACCCTTCCTGCATATGTAAAAAAATCACGATGTACTTAAAACTTAATGACTAGGTATATAAAATTACTTACCCTTTTTTAAAATAGTGATTTCCTATCATTCACATCTTGTTATAACATTGGTGATTGGTCTTATAAAGTCTTTCAACTATTATGT